TAGAGTTGGAAACTGAAATATTCCACTCGCGACAATCGATTTCCCTCTCGTTTTGTACGTTCAACATAATGTCGTATCTAGTGCACTGTATTCGTTGAATAATGCGCTTTAATGCAGAACTAGAAGAAAATCGATTGTCACGAGTGGGTTATATCGGTTTACAACTCTAGCGAAAATATACAGTGAAAAGGAAGTGATACTCATAATGAGGGCCGTGATGCCGTACAAATGAAATGGGAATCACTTAGTTGTGACGACAAGTCTTCAAATTTTACGTTTCCTTAAATTCAAGCAATTCCTCGAGCAAATTTCCTCGCGATCAAAAAATGTTTGAATTTTAAGCCATACTCGCAGCACAGTTCGACAGATGATGATATTAGCTTGTGCCTGAATTAACAGGTTCAATGGAAGATGTATTTGCATTTGCATTAATTTTATGCGTGAATTCTTCGATTATTTCAATATTTCTTTCAAACTTAATGTTATTATACTAATAAAAATGAACAGATTTAAGGCAGAGTTCATTAACAAAAAAAAAATATAATCTGGTTTTGGTTGCATACACCAAGATGATTCAAACCAATTGTGTGCTTTTATTTGTATTATCGCAATCATATGATCACATCCGTATTCAGAATTGACGCGATAGCACTTATGAAATTCGCCTCCCCATTATTCGTCTTTCCATGGGTCAACTAAACAATACTTTGGGCAGAACTCCAAACCAAAAGGAAACGATGAGTCCCATGTGCACAGGACACGAAATGATCGTTACCGATCAACTTGACACACTCAAGTGCTGGGAAGGCAATTGCATACTAGCTGCGATTTTTTTCCCGGAAGTAGCGCAGCGTGTGAATGTCCAAAGTATTCACCAGCTCCAGTGTCCGTTCAGCTCCTTCTCTTAGGGTCTGTTCATAAACTACGTAAACATGTTAGGAGGAGGGGGGTTGGGTTGACAATTGCACGGCTCATACAAATTTTAAAAATTTTGTATGGACAATTGGCTACGCAGGGGGTGGTCAGGGGGGGGGTCAATAATCAAAAAAAAAATGTGTATGTAGTTTATAAACAGCCCCTTATCGGCCTCAAAAAAAACTTCTGATCCTGCGAAATGGCCAGCGAAAGAACTACCGCCTTCTGCGCCTTTGTCACCGTTCCCGCTTGATCAGGTACCAAGTACAGAAACCGATCATCGCCAGTCAAATACAGACACATCGGTGACTGATGCTTTCAAATACAATTGATTTATATATTGCTGAAAAAACATGCTTTTAAATTTAATTCAAAATACATATTTTAGTTATAAACATGTTTTCAATTTACGTTGAATCATTCATATGTTTAGAGTATAAACAGATTTATTTTTAATTTGAATGAACAAAATTCGTATGCGTGAAGAAATAAATAATATTTTTACACGTAAATTTTGTTAACAATCTAAGAAAAAACTAATCGAATTATTGATAATTTTTCCCACGAAAACCGTTTCGAAAAAACTATATTTTCGGGGTGGTAAACTTCCCCTTAACCATACATTTTGGGGTTAAATACAAAGAGGCAAACCCGGATAAAAATAACCATACAATTACCATAACATAAAATACAATTACAAGCAAACCTATTGGCCACAATCGATCTTATTGTGCGTATATAGTACACGAAATTTTAGCATATTGTTATTACATTAGATGTATAATACGTAGTATTTAGTAAGAGTTTTCAACAATAGAACAACAATTCAATTAATGGTAAATGGCTCAAGTTTGTTCGGGAAAAAGTGATTTTTCGTATGGTTAAGATACATAACGACCCCCTTGTTCCATTGTATATTACCCCATTTACCATAGATTCTGTTGTGGACACAATACATTCTATTGTTATTTTATCTTTGTGGAGAATAAGATTTATTGTAAATACAATGAACTCTATTGTATGGTTCCAACACATTTTATTGTACCTCTACGGTTCTTTTTTTTACGGGAAACGTGCTTAACATAATTTTCTATTGTAAATCTGTTTTCGTTCAAATCCACCAAATTAAATTCGTTATTTCTTAGGTTCTCAGTTAGCACAAACAAACATTCCTTTCACTGTTGCATTCTCCGGTGCTTTGACAGGGGCCTGATCCATGGTATAGGTTTTTGCCCTGCCAACACCTCGGCAGTATTGAAATCCGACTACATTTAAAATCACGAACCGATCGTTGCTTATGAATCGGCACCAATAATCAACGTAGATTTCCTCGTATGTCCCGGGAGATGTATGTTTATAGGGTCTATGCTAAAGTCATAATAGCGGTAGCGATACAATCTATCAGAGCTGACATTATCCTTAACGTAGCAAAAGGGCCTGTGAAATTTTTGTTTCACGGGCCTATAACGAAAGGGTCTAACGGTACGCTGGGGGTAATTTAAGTACATTTCTCGCTGTACATTAATGGAGTTAATGTACTTAATTTATGCGACTTGTAATTAAAGCTAAAATTTGTACTTAAAAGTAATTAAATCAAAAAATTTCCGACGCTCGTAATTAAAGTAATTAACCATGTAGTTAACTGTAATTATTGTACTTAAAAAAGGCTTGCGTAGGAGTTAAAGGTTATTGCGTGCCCCTCGCCCGGCCCTCTATCTCGGTACGCAAAAGTCTCCGGTCAATGAGACCACCACCAATCGATTCAGCAGAATTTTCTTTGAACATATGTAGAACATGATGACTGAAACCGTTTGGCAGCCGAGATATTCAATTTAGTCGCGGTTTTGTCAATTTTTGCCCACTGTGGAATGTGGTAAAGGGCCACAATGCTTGTGGGAGAAATACTTCAAGTTGTTCTTCTTAAGCAACGACGGCCTGTGTGGTTCATCGCTGGAACCATCAGCTTGATGCAGTGTACAGGTGCATGGTTACACACCTTTTCCGATGAAAAAGTCATGTACATCCCTTCACGAAGAACGCTGGAAGTTTCACCTTCTTTTCTACCTTTGGTTCGTCGCCATTTTCAAGGATGGTGAAACGATTGTTCGACAGCAGCTTTTACGATGCCAACTAAGCGCTGGCGGCATCCGAGGGGGGTCGTTTCAACGTCGACGGCGAAGCAACCACATCAACACGCGGCGGTTTCCCCATGGTAGTGTCAAACGATGTTTCATAAAACACCACGAAAAAAGTAGCGCGAACACTACCGCAATGAAGTATGCGAACAACTAGAGGGAACGACCGAAAACCGAACTGAACTGCTTGACGGTCAGAACGTTAGTAGAGATCAATGTTCTTTGGTCATGATATGCCGTCATTGGATAGAGATGGGTCAACCTCATAGTATGGAGGGGTCTTCAATCGATCGCTGGATTGTCGGCAGGACAGCGCAGTAGAAGCAACGGACTCTGAACGATGAAATTAATTCGATAGAAATTTAACATCGGCGCTGGCCAAGGCAAAAGCAAGCAGAAGCCCAGGATGGAAATCATTCAAGTTGAACCTATGCGTATCTGGAGGTGCTCGGGATGTAAGGGATTCCTTTTTTTGTAATAACGGCATCCTTCATGCCTTGTTCCGACTATAAAAAATTGGCGATCGTGGGTGGGTATCGCGCTTCTATTGGGGAAATGGATGCCAAGTAAAAAATTACAACACTTCTCAACCATTTTTTTACAACTGCCGACAAAAACAGCATTGAAAGAGCTGCAAACGGTAAGAAAAAAGTATCCAACGGCCAGTTCACCTTTACCTACTTTTGACTAGTTTGTCTCCTTTTCTCTTTCTAATGTTGTCAAAAACGGAGGAGCAAAACCACCCAACAGGGGTAGTAAAGTGTGGGAACCCAACGTTGAGTATAATCATATTTACCTACTGTTGGGTACAACTAACTTACTTTTGGTTAAAAAGCCAGTGGAAAATTCCATACGAACTGCACACAAGTAAATGAAAATTACTTTGACCCGCTTACCTACTTTTGGGTTCCTGCACTATAGCGCCGAGATGAGTGAAAAGAACTTAATTTTGGGTTCTTTTTTCTAACCGTGCAGGAAACGAACAAAGCGCACCACAACAATAGAGATTAATAACGTTTATCGCACGCACACTAGCGGGAGCAACGCCGTGTAAAGTTGTTTATTATTTTCCTCTGGCTAACCTAAAAAATGTATGAAAGTAGATCTGTCAAAATGCGTTTGACATCGATTTGTTATGTATTTTCCTCGGATATTCACTAACACACTCTCACATATCGCACCAATACAACGGGACGTGAAAATCTCTAATACCGGCATACAGCTGTCCGCATAACAGCAGAATAGCTTCAAATCTTTACGAGCCTATTGACTTCTCGACGCAAGATCTCACTAACACAACCTTGCTAGTGTATTCGTGTAAAATCGATTTGTTTATTATTTTCAACCACGAAATCAGCTGTCAAAGTGTTCGACTTGACAGCGGTTTGTTTTTTATTTTCAACCAGTAAAACGTATGTATTAGTGAAATTGATCACTGATACTAACGGTGGTAGAGAACTCTATTCGAGCACCCTCGTAGGTAAATCCGTAATCTTCCATTACAGTTCAATGAACGCTGGTATTTTTAAAACAGTGAATATGATTACAATGCGCCTAGTCAATTAACCACTTCATTCGAGCAGTTAAAATGACGTTTATTACCACTGGAACTTTGAAATAAAATTTTGAGATTTTTTCTTGTAGAACCACGAGAAACGTAGCCAACATTTGTGCATTTCACAAAAAATAGAAATTTGTTGGTCCAGTTTTGTGAAATTGCTTGGTAGAAAGTCACGCCAAAACTGCTTGACAAAGTGGTCAATACCCCAATAGTTTCTCAAAATTATCAGAATGCAAATTTATTGTTTAACAGTTTTATTTGAATTTTCTTTTTAGACAATATTAGATATAAATGTATCTTACCGAACTAAACAAGGAATATAATTATAAGGTTGATCAACTAATAATTCTACTTACTAAGTAATTGATTTACGAACTGAACTTGTGCTAAAATGCTTAACATTAGTTTCAGGGAAAAATGATCCATTAATTTAATAAGCGTCTTTTTTCTCTCACATACATTCAAACCAACTTCTGCAAATTTATACGCTTCCATACACTATATATACACAACATTAAATCCCCTTGCTCTATCGGAGATTGCCGCTATTGTTGCCAATAGCGTCTTCTCTAAATGTTAAATTCCGTTTTCCAACTTTTCCACTCACGTTGATACTTTTCCAAAGCCTCGGAAAAGGATAGGTAGTGCGTTGCCATAGTTGTTAGTAGTTAGATAAAAGCGGGGGATTCCATGTTAATTGGATTGCTGGGATAAGCGTGGAGATGGTTACGTTTTGTTTTGTAAATGGGATAAAGGATGCTAAAGGAAATTATTAAAAGCATCATCGGAGGTGTTAACTGTTAGTGGGAAAATCGTTTAATAATTCGAATGTTAATGTGGATGGAGAGAAAAGCGTGGAGATGGTTACGTTTTGTTTTGTAAATGGGAGAAAGGATGCTGAAGGAAATTATTAAAAGCATCATCGTATGTGTTAGCTGTTAGTGGGAAAATCGTTTAATGATTAGGATGTTAATGCGGATGGAGAGAAAAGCTCGATTGCTTAGAAAGTATCAACGTATGTTTTGTACTATATTGTATGGTTGGCAGTATTGTTAATACTTGGATGAATATTTTGCTATAAGTATATACATATGCATTCTGAAGTCAACGTTTTATTGAGAGCTAATATCTATTTAGACATATACCAACCCGTTTCTGCGAATTGATGGTAGATTGTTAATGAGATATAACATAGTGATACACTTATTTAAACCTTCCATCAATTGGTTCTGCATAAAAATTCTTGCAATTTGAACTGTCAGACAAAAACTATTTAACTCTTTTACTCTTTAAAATATTATAAAATCTTAGTACATACTTCAACTTACAGTCTATTAAGTCTTATTCACCAGTTTATTCCCAACTTCGAGAGGATTGCTTGCATCGAGCGATTTCCGGCTGGAAGCGGGTGGAGTTAGTAGGCCCTCGGGATCCAACAGAGGTGCGGGTGAGGCTTCCTGTTGAATGATACAGGCGACGACTGCGAGATGTTCGCGGCGAAGAGATGCTTTATCCTACATTTGAACGTATAACATTAGAGCTCAAGTACACAGTGAATCGTGCAAGCGAGGAAACACTTACGAACATATCCAACGAGGTGGTGTGCGTCTGGATGATGTGGGAGCTGTCCGCCACCAGATTGGGGCAAACGTGTGCCAGTCCATAGCTACTGTTGACCTGTTCGTTGGACTCGAGCAGTGCCAGCGGAGATACTTCGTTCTCATCGCAGATCACTAGAAAGTACGGTTCCATCCATTTGGCACACGGAGCAATCACGTCCCAGTCCAAACCGGACACACTGTTAGCGGTTTTTCTGTAATGGGAAGCAAAAACGAACGTTTAGACGAAACTGCCACAATCGGAAAACGTCTGCAGTATTAACCGTACCTATCGAAAGTGTGGCTTATGGCAGCCGCGGCGATCACAGAGTAGGGAAAGTTCGCTAGACCGACGTCCAACGAGCACAGATCGATAAGTTGGGCAGTCTGCGCGAACTCCATACCGGAAAACTGGGGATATACGAAGGCTTCGTCAGGCTGCCGTTTCAATGCTGCGGTTTGCTGTTGCTGCTGCTGCTTCTTCCGGCAGCTAGTGGAATGTGGGTGCATCATTTCCATCTGCCGGCTGGTAGCGTTGACTTGCATGTACGTCCCTAGCCAACCCATCACCGTTACGGGGTTGATACTCCACTGGAGTTCACTAAGCAGCAGCAGCTCCTCGCGCAGGATGTCATCCTCCGAACAGGCACCGTCCGTGACGTAGGCGAATTCGCCGATTTTGGGCGGATAGATTTCCTCGACCTATTGGGGGAGGTGGAGAATTGATGGATGTTAGAAAAGCTTTCTCTTATTCAAAAGTTAACCCAAGTTCTTCACAGTAGATTTCAACAATGTATTCATGGGCGTAGTCCGAAGGGAGGGTATTACCGCGAATGCAGTCTCCCTTTGTCAGTGTTTTTTTTTTTATCGTAGATAATCATTCATGCTACAGTATTCTAATAATTTAAAAAATAGACAAATTGTTGACCTTTCAGATTTTGGGACATTTTAATTCAGGATCTAGAACAAGAAATTTTTTATAGAGACCCAGACTTAGACATTTTTTAAGATTCAAGAGGTCAGACATTAAAACATGTTCATGGTCTCAGAACACATTGACGATCTGTATCCCCCCTACGCCCTCAATTTTTACGTCATTAATGCATGAAGAGAGTTCTAGTTTAATTCTTAAGAACTTAAGAAAAAAATTAAGGATTGCTTTCAATGTAGATCTGAGCGAAATGCTATTGAGTCTACGGCAGTTCTGAGGAATTGTGAGAATAACTTCAAGTGAAATATAAGGATTGCTTCCAAGGTAGCATAATTTTAAGGTAAGTCTGAGGACCTTCTGATGCCAGATGAATTCTTATGAGAATTCGTAGGAAATTCTGAGATGAATTTCGAGGCAGTTTTGGGCAGAATTTCAAGGCAATTCTGAGGAGAACTTTAATTGAAATCTTGTTCTCCAAGGTTGTTCTGAGCAGAATTATTATAAGGTAATTTTGAGGGCATCCTAAATTCGAAGACAATCGAAAGGAGAATTCTTAAGAGAATTCCTAGGAATCTCTTGATAGAATTCCTAACGAATTCTGAATAGAAACTCAAGGCATTTCAGTCTGGCAAGAATTCCAAGCGCGTTTTGAGTATAATTTCAAGGCAAACCTAACGATTGCATCCAAAATAGTTTTGAACAAAATGCTAAGGTAATGTTAGGACCCCGTGATTCCAGGTGAATCCTAAGGCGAATTCCAGAGAAATTCTGAGGAGTATTTCTTGGGATTTCTGAAGAGAATTCGGGCTACATTAAACCTGTTAATAATGACAAACAGAAATATAAATAAATCAAGTAGATGACCCATGTTGCCTCATCTTACCCAACAAAAAATATATAGAAATCTACACTCAAAGAATTAATCACATATCCAATGGAAAATATTCATTAGAATTTCACATAACTTTCATGTGATATCATAATTGGGAATTGAACCACAGAATCACATGAACCTTATGTGTCAACTCTAAGGACAATCAAAATATGTGAGATCGTAGACTTGGATTTGCCATTTTCCAAATCCCTGACTAGAAAAAAAATCACAAGATTCTAAGGGAAATATTTGTGATACCGGATTTAGTTTTATTGTCAACATTCTGGGGACGAATCCATTCGATTCCTCCATGTTCAAGCCTGGCTACGCTCATCAATGTATGTATGTACTAATGTATTGCTTAAATCATATGTTTCTTGCCAATATATAGCCTCCGCTTTTGCATCTTAACTGGACGCTTACCTTTGCCGCCACGAACAGCGCCGTTATTCCCAGGAGCTGAAGGTGGGTCTTCTTCTGTTCCTTCTTCCGGCTGAGAAACCGATCGATGTAGTCCACCGCCAGATAGTACGTTTCCCGGTGTAGTTTGTACACTTCGCACACCTCGTTCAACCAGTCCAGTAGGATTGCACGCATTCGTGGCTGAAGGCCTGCGAAAGGAAGAAGAAAGGACCAAACACAACCAAATTAGTTAAATGTGTGTGTGTGTGCAAGGGATAGATTGTTAACAACAGGTAGTATGGGAATCTGGGAAAGTCATAAACATTTTCTTCGATTGTTACAGTTATAATGGATTTAGGAGGTCCTGTCATTTATCATGGCTCCCACTACAGCGAACAAAAAAGGGATAATTACGAGGATCGTTAAAAAAATCCCTCTTACCTGGATGCTGGTCGAACATGTTGGGTTCCCGCTCGAGTGATGCCTTCTCGTCTTTCCGACACATGAGCTTCCACACCTTTTTGGAGTCGGCCCAAGCAAACTGAGGCAACGGGCAGGTTCGCTGCTCGGACGACGGAGTCACACAGCACGAGAGCGAGGCGGGAATTTGAGATTTACTATTGCTATTATTATTATTACTGGTACTACCACTATTTTCACTATGTTGTCGATTATGAGACGAAGATTTTCTATTGCCGTGCGGCGTCGTGTCACCCTTGGTGGTGTGCCAACTGCCACGGGATGCATCACAGGAAGGACTAAGGATATTACTATTTACAGAGGTAGGACTAGCCAGTGGGAAAATGTCAAACTCGGCCGTCGTTGAGTAGCATTCCGACGAACTCTGCGTATCGGAGGTGTACTCGCTGCTCCCGATGGTGATACTGTTGCTGGCACTATTACTGGATGCCGCCGAACTGGCAACACTTGGGACCTGCACCTGTACCGCGGGAGCAGAAGACGCTGCAATTGGCGACAACCGTCGATCACCGCCATGCCGCTTGCTGGGCCGCTGGTTTTCTATGTCCTGTTGAAGGAGAAAAAAAAAATAGAATTAGATTCAAACTCATCAATTCCGATCGAAAGAGGGACCAAAAAGTAATCCACCACAAACAGCAACGTGAGCCACATTCCTACGGACAACGATCGACTGACTGTGACGACCAGTATTCAATCAGCTGACAACGACGGTTGCGGAAATTTGCGGAAAACCGGTCCGGATATTATTTACCAAATTTTAAAGGGCCGGAAAATGCTTCCTCATTTAACCAACAGCAACACAGGCATAGGTAGTCGCGATGGTAACGAACATCATTGTTCATTTAGAACAACTACCACGTGCAAGACGCTCATTTCCCAGGCGAATAGATGTATCAACAGAACAAACAAAAGGAGAAGAATGTCGCCCTTTACTTTTTTTTTCATGGATGGATACGAATCGGTAACGGCATCTTTCTAGAAGGCAAAACGAGTAAGGATGCACGCCAAGTCGAAAAGGACAGCTGCCAAGTTAGTATAGGCATTTTATGGTAACGAACAATAATGACTGGCAAAGGACGAAGGATTCTGATGACTGTGCAGCGGCATTTAAAATTATAATAAGGAGCAAATAAGAGTTGGAAAAAGCAGCTGGTCACTCTGCAGGCAACGGAGAGCAATTGTTTGTCAATCAAACCAACAAATGCCTTCCTCTTTCAAATTCAATTGTTTTTCCAAGGTTCGAAGGATGTTTGATTGCCTTCAAAAGGGTTTTCGATTTGATTTGATGGGACGGCTACGACTTGTCACAGGAAAAGAAAATGAACAGACCAACAATGACATAATCCAGCACACCTTTCTGCAACGCCTCGAAGTTGATGACGAATTCTTGGCACCCCACCTGGTTAATCGGTGATCTTGAAATCCTTAGGGCTCTTCTGCAAATCGAGTAAATGAGCTTCAATTCCAACATTTCTGCTTCATATCTTGATCCAATTGCCACTGAATTTTAGAAGTTTCAGCTGACGATGTTCTTCCTCAAACATAGCGCCAAGTCGATTAATGTCGTTGTTGGGGCATTTCAAATTGTCAATATCAGAACAGGGTAAGGGTGGATAAGATGGGTCACGGGACATAAAAAAATTGTCAACATCAACAGCAGGGCTGGTAGCGATCAATGATGTAAATAAAAGTGATTATAATGACCATGTTGAAGAAATAAGTAACCAAATAGTGACTTATCAATTGTAAAAAAAGTGACTAAAAGTGACCTATGAGTCATTGGGACCTCCCTTAGCTCAGTCGGCAAAGGCGTAGCTACAAAGCAAGACCATGCTGGAGGTGGCTGGATTCGATTCCCGGTCCGGTCTAGGAATTTGTCTGGTTGGAAAATTTATCGACTTCTACTAATGCAAAAATGGTACTGGCATCGAAAGCTCTCAATTAATAACTATGTAAGTGCATCTAGAACACTAAGTTGAGAGGTAATATGCAATAAGCAATAAGCTTGAAATACGAAGCAGAAGAAGAAGAAGAGTCGTTCTGATGGCACACAAGAAAAAAAAAATGCTTCTTCATTCCTTTATTTAACGTCGGTCTCTGTTCCGCAACCTAGCGCTAATCACCGAGGGAAATCGATTGCCGAGGCTTGAAATATTTTCTTTTGTTCTGGCATATGCATATTTCTCACGAATTTCATTTTTTTCCTTGATTTGTTTTTCGTCGTACTTATTTTCCGTGCTGAGCGCCAATGCTACCGACGTCAGGGAAGTAGCTCCCATACCTGGACCCTACCTATCAACTCATGAACCGGGGACCAACGGCTTTACTTCCCTTCCGAAGGAAGGCGTGATCAGAGATGTTATGCCTCAGAACATCCCGGCGGCGCCGACTGGGATTGAACTCAGGCTTGCTGGGGTGAGAGGTAATCACGAATTTCAAATTTGAAAAAAAAAATAAGTTCTGGACTTAAAAGTTATAATACTTTAAGAAATTTCCAAGAATCTGTAGTCAAATTACTTGTACAGTATTAAGGGCTCATGGAATTTTATTATAATTTTTAAGGAGCTCATTCCAAAGGAGTTCTGGGGAAAACATTTTGGAGAAAAACATCAAGTGCAATCTGCTTTCAATGTAGTTACAAGGAATTTTAGATTCCTTGTAGAGCCTGATATAGTTTTGGGTAGAATTTCAAGAAAACCCTGAATGGAATTCAAAGTAAATTTGTATAAGAAATCATAGGAATTTCTCAGGAGAATTCTGTATTTCATGAAGCTTATGAACGGCGCCGATGGTGTAGTGGTAAGCGTGATTTCCTTTCACCCCATCAGGCCTGGATTCAATCCCAATCGGCGCCGCCGGTATGTTCTGAGGCATAACATCTCTGATCACGCCTTTCTTCGGAAGGGAAGTAAAGCCGTTGGTCCCCGGTTCATGCGTTGATGGGTGGATAGGTAGTGTCCAGGTGTGGGAGCTACCTCCCTGGCGTCAGTAGCATTGGTGCTCAGCACGGAAAACAAGATCGACGAAAAACAAATCGAGGATAAAAAAAAAGTTTGTGGGAGAAACCGAATCCGAAGCATAAGTTCTTGGGAATTTTTGGAGAATACTTATGGGGTGAGAGGGGTGCTAAAAGGAGGATACAATTAAATCTGCAAATACGTCCAGGATTACATTTTCAAAGGAATTCGGAAAATAATTCCAGGAGAGTTTGCCAAACAAATTATGAGGGGAAATATAAGAAATTTGTGAGGAGAACTGCAAATGAAATCTTAGGAAACTTGAGTAGAGTTACAAGGGGAGGAGTGAGATTCAAAAGGAAACCTAAAATTAATTCAATGAAAATTCTGAGAATCTTTCCAAAGCGTTTCTTAACAAGGAGAATTTCGAGGAAATTCCGACGAAAATTCAAAGAAAATGGAATTTGGAGGATAGTTTCCACGAAATTTTGAGGAATATTTCAATGGAATTGCAAGAACTATCCAGCATTTTACAAGCGCTGATGGCCGCCACAATCTGACTGAGTTTCTGGTAGGGATCAAATTTGACCGCTTACATGTCAAACGACACAAGCCAAACTTCAAATAATATGTTCCCTACCAGAAATTCAACCAGATTGTGGCGAGCCATGAACGCTCGTAAAATGCTGGATACTAAGCATATTCTGATGATATTTTGTTAGAGAGAAGCGTTCCAAGTAAATTCTAGAATAATTCCATGAAAGCTTCGGGAAAATACAAAGCAAATGCTAAGGAGAAATCCAAGTGAATTTTCATGAGAAATCTTCGTTGAAGATGGAATGGACTATTCTGAAGTCTTCAGAACTACTTGAAAGTTCCCCAAAATTATCCTGAAGTTATTTAAGCTGCCTTGTAGTTCGTTTGTAGTTTGAGAAACTTGCTTAAACTTTTTTCGGATTTCCTAAAGTTTTTTTGAATTTTTCAAACGATCATGGATCTTCTCTAAAGTTTCAACAAACAATTCGCTTAAGTTCTCGAATCTTCGTTAAAAATTAAGTAATTTCTCAAATGTTAACGGAACTTCTCAGAGGTTCTCTGTTATTTCCTGAAATTCTCAAAACTTCTCTAAAGTGTTTGCAGTTCTCATGAAACTTGTTGTACTGCCATGAGTTGAATTGAAATGTCCTAAAAATTTTAAGCTTCAGTGAACTTTTAAACCTTCAGTGAAGACCTCAAGAATTTTCCTAACATCTCTGAAATTATCTGAAAATCTGGTAAGCTAATGGAATTGAACTTCCCCAGAAATTCCCCTGTTTTTGGAGCTTACTAAACTTCTTTTAAATGCGCCCGCATTATGCTAATGTTTCTGAAGTTCTCGAATCTTCCCTTAATTCCTTAGTTACTTAAGATCTCTGCACACGAGTTTTTCAGAAATTTCTGGAATTTATGTCGTGGAATTATGCCGCAATTTTCCTAGAATCAAAACGGAATAATTAATATAGTTCTATGATTTTCACTGAAGTTCTCAAGATTTTTGTGAAGTTCATGAACTGTCTTAAATTTTCGACACTAATTCATTACTTCTTCAATAGTCTAGACTTTCCTGATGTGATTAAAATTTCCCAAAATATTTCTGAATTTCCTTAAAGTTCTCTAGACTGCCCTGAATTTCTCAGTATTTGTTATAAGAACCCGCAATTTTACTGAAATTAATTGAATTGCCTTGAAGTTTCCACACTCTTCCTTAAGTTTTATAAACTTTATAACGCTCATGGAATTTTGCCTTAAACACTAATTTTCTCTGAACTTATCTGGACATTCCTTAAGTTTTCTAAATATATGTTCCGACAAATTTTCTGATATACAGTGAATCTCAAAATTGAGCATACAGCTGTTCGTACATTTCAGAACAACAACTGTACGAGTACAACTTAAAAAGATAGAGTTCTAAATTTTTGGCGGCTGGCTCATCAACCATTTATTGGTTATCAGTATGGTATTGGGCTTATTTGGATGAGTGTGTAAGAAGTTAGAGCTATTTTAGAAAAACTAGATTTCTTTAAAAACAACACTTTTTCTTGAAATACAATGAGCCAAACATATTGAAATTGTGCTAATCTGTAGTCAAAATAATAATCTTTAAAATGCCGCTAATTTTACGTTTTTAACTTAAGTTGAAAATTGAATCCGTTTTACTGAAATTACTCAAACTTCATACATACTCTGCCAATAAAGTCCAAAGCTATACCGATAAATCAACAAATAGTTGTTCAACCACTTGCCAAGATTTTAAAAATATATCTACTCACAGTCTTTCAAAAAATTGCCTATTCAGGTGTACGCTCAATTTTGAGCTTTTAAAGTTTTCGGATCAATCATAGAATTCTAGGAATTGCTCCTAATTTCAAATTTCTTGACGATATCGGTGCTTGCTAAAAGTGCTCGCATTTTATTTATTAATGGAACTTCGTTGATATTCTCTAATCAACTTAGCTAAATTGTTTGAAGTTCTCGAAATTTCCATGTATGTATATACAATCCCACTTCCACTGTCCGGCTGTGTTTTTATGGAAGAAAACTGTTTGCAATA